ATATAAAGTATTGTTCAAAGACTGATAAGCTTTGATGAAGAAAGGCCAGCTATGATTTAACTGTTAAATCAGGGATTCTCAACCTTTCTAATGCTGTAGCCCTTCCATATAGTTGCTCATGTTGTGATAACTTCAACCATAAAATTATTTTCATCTCTACTTCATAACTAATTTTGCTACTGTTATGAATCGTAATGTAAATATCTGATATGCAGGATACCTGATAAGCAACTTCTGTGAAAGGGTTGCTAACTCACAGGTTGAGGACCACTATGTTAGATGACTAGCTATGCTATGTGGCAATGGTGGGTAGTGATAGCTTGGATATGATTCTCTTTTACTCCTGAGATAAACTTTATCAAAGTATTTTTTAAAGTTATTTGTTTTTGTCTTTTTATGTGTATGGATGTTTTGCCTGGTGCCTACAGAGGCCAGAAGAGGGCACCGGATCCCCTGGAACTAGAGTAACAGACAGTTGTGAGCCACCATGTGGGTGCTAGGAAATGAACCTGAGCCCACTATAAGAGCAACTGGTGCTTTTACCTGCTAAACCATGTCTCTAGCCCCTTACAAAGTCTAAAGAGTTCTGCTCTGGTGATCTTTGGGTAGATCTGCCAGACAAAGTGCACTGTCTGGCAGAATGTCAAGTTTGTTATATTTGAATGCCAAGTTGTATTGCTTGGCATCTAAAGAAAGCTTTGTGTTGAAAAATGAACTGATTATTTTTCCTTTGCAAAATAGTATATTTTAAAATTAATTTTTAAAAAAAGATTTAAAATATTATTTTGTATTGGTGTGGGTGCACATGTGTTATCATGCATGGGAAGTCAAAGGACAGCTTGGTGTAGTGGGTTCTAGGGATCAATCTGTCATCAGACTTGGTGACAAGTGCCTAACCCACTGAGACATCTGTCTTGTTGGCCCAATTTTTATAAAATAAGTAGAAATAAATTCACCTATGGTTCCCAAATATAACCACCATTTAATACTGTGTTGTGTATCTTTGGAGCAGAGTGTTCATTGCCACTTAATATTTTATTTCCTTCTTTTTCCGCAATTCAGGATCTTGATTTATTGAGATGACAGTGAATGCAGCTAAAAGACCATAATGTTAGTCACTCTTGCCTCACTGAGTTATGTCTTTTGAGATAAAACTGAAAGTATCATATGCATGCAACTTTCAAGCTCCTTAAAAGGAAAGAATTGATACCTTTTCCTTTTTCCCCCATTGTAGAATACAATACTGGTAGTTCCCACAGCTATGAGATCACAGGGTGAAAGGTCATGAAGAAGCTATAGGATAATAGAGTGCAATATATCATCCAAATCAGGATAGAAAATTTGTTGCTGTCAACTGTAGCCCTTTACCCAGGTGAGAACATGCTACACAGCTTATATAGATCCAAGCTAATGGAGTACACACAACCAACTGCGTATTGAGAGCTTATTTGGAGGTTCTAACAGGAACACAACTACTCACATACCCTTGATGGAAGAACAGTCCTCTACCTTGGAAAATGACTCTTGGTGTGTTCCTTTGGGAGGCACTGCGTAGAGTGATGAGGAAAGAAGCAGACCTCTTCCTAGTTAGTCAGATGAGCTGAGTCACCCTGGTGACTAGTGGGGTGTCAGATGTAGTCAGATTGCCTGCTCACCTCAACTGTGTATGTGACATGTTTCTGTGTATTATTTCGAAATATAAATACTGTTTGCAAAATTTAAAAACTAATAGCATTCATTACCTCTAACTTCAATATTATCTTTAGTGGATAAATAGTAAGACACCCAACATCCTTCTCTGCCCTCCACATACCTATGCATAGTTTCCCTGTATGTACATACACATATGTATCACACA